TAAGAAAAAAAAAATCCAATTATAGCACCAATCTCTCAGCAGGGGTCAGTGTGGAATAAGAATAGCCAAAGTTAAATGGACAGGACACAGGSGAGATTAATGCCTGCAGGGCTTCAAAAGTTGTATGATGCGGATTTCATTAACATTTTAATTGTAATGTATCTTTTTAATCTTCTCTCACCCTAATGGCTTTATATCCAAAAAAAAAAAAAAAAGGGAAGAAAAAACTGCTGACAACAACAAAAAGTATCAATATACAAAATTTAACAAAGGCGCTCAGCAGAGCGGTGGAAAGGAGATTAGAGGAGCAAGACTGTGTTAACATTGTGATTCCTGAGAGCAGGAGTCCGAACGCCGGCAGGGCCAGTCTTCCCTTCTTGGCACACAGCAGCAGGAAGGGAAGGCCAAGGACGAACCCCGGGCAGAGCCCAGCCGGCAGTGAGTCTGTGGCCAGAGGGGATCCCAGCAGACCAGAGACAAGAGGGGCGACCTCCTCCAAAGACCACCAGAAGTCCCAGAGCCTGCCTGGGCTGCAACTCCAGGCAGTGGCCAGGAATGGAGGGGGAGGCACTCCAGGAACAGACACCAGGACGGAAGTCCTCCCTCCCCCAAGGTGCGAGGGAGAAGGGGACACCCAAGAGTCACCATAATGAGAGGACACTAGCCTTGTGTGGGACCAGGGCTGGGCTGCTGACGAGCCTCCCTAGTAGGCCCTTAACGTTCTAATGGCTCTGGTCAATGGCCATATTCCTGCCTCCAACTGTCAAAAATAGGGGTTTTCACAGTGTGCTTGGCCCTGACTACACAGGGCCCAGATTTTTATTTTCAGTCAACAAACACTCCTTGAGGCCTGACTAATGAAGCAAATGCTTTGCCCCAGACCCAGCTGCCTTCGGTAGGCCACCCCTCCCCGAAGTCTACCCAGGAAGCCACCCCCACCCCAGGGCCAGGCTGCCAGGCCTGGAGAACGCCCTGCAGGAGCGCTCGCCGCTCACCCCAGTGACTATATAAGGGCACTTTCAGGCCCCTTTGTTCCCCGCCCAGGCCCTGCCTGCTTCCCAGGCACAGAGGCAGGCACTGGGCGGGCCTGGAGCTGGCAGCCCATCCATGGCCATGTGCCCTCCTGGATGCCAGGGCCCAGCGCAGGGGGGAAGGGTAAAGATTCCTTTAGAGAGACCCGAGCCAGCCTGTTCCCCTGGGATCTGAAAACCAGGCCTGGAGAAAGTGCCYGGGATCCTCCCAGGGGACTGGCCCAGCCTCCCCTTAAAGGGCCAGGAGCAGCTCAGTGGGCAGGACTATGCTCTGCCAGCAGCCGCAAGGCAGGGGGGCCTACATGGGCAAGGAGGCAAGGGCCTACAACCCACAGTGGACGTTCCTTAGTATCAGGGTGGGGCCCAGGGAGGGTAGATCATTCACCAAGGTCACACAGCCTGGGTGACCTGACACCCCCCCAACACCCCGTGGGGCCCAGGCTCGGCACACAGACCCCTGGGTGGGCAAAGCCTGAGGTTAGGGTCCTGTTCCCTCCTCTGCTCACACCAGGGCCCGAATGCCATGCTCACAGATGGCAGACACCTGTGCCGCTCACTGGCCTGTGGAGCCCTGCCCAGGGTGCTKCGTCCAGACCTCCACTCTAACTACAAAGGCAGAAAGGCCGCAGCTGGGATGCTGCTCTGGCCCCAGCAAATGAGCGACTTGCAGGTGACACTGGGAGCCCCGGCCAGCTGGGAGGCATATTTTGCAAATGACCTCATCTAGAGCCAGGCCTGGTGAGAGTGAGAATTTGCTAAAAAAAAAAAAAAAAAAAAAAACAGAGGTCCACAGGATCCCTGCCCACGTAGGGCAGGGGACCATGGCCCGGGCCAGTTCATCTCCTGCCCCAGCCAGGAGGACATGATCGTCCAGTCACTCAAAACCAGGGCTGGCTGCAGGCACTCACCAGGGACAGCTCAGAGCCCACTGGACAGGCCAAAAGGTCTGAGAGACAGCGGGGGGCACGTCTCTGAGTTGGGGTAGGGTAGAGACATGCGGGCCCAGCTCCCCTTCCACCTGGAGGTTCCTGATGGCCACACTGCTCACACCCCAGGGAGGAACAGGGGTGCCCAGAAAAACTGGGCAAAAGAGGAATGAAATGTGGCGACAGGGACCCCGGGGGGAACACAGCACCCAGCCAGGGGAGCTCTCAGGCAGGGAGACGCCCGAGCACCAGCCCCACGGAGGCTACCCCTTCCTTGGCCATCCCCGGCCCCACCAGACTCACAAACTCAAACCCGGGGCTGGCTGCAGGCACTCACCAGGGATAGCCCAGAGCCCACCATGCAGACAGGGGCTGGTAGCAACGTCCCCTGCCCTGGAGAGACTGCCCACCCCAATGGCATCACCAACAGAGCAGGCCTGGAAGTCCACCCCAGGTTCCCTCAGCCCAGGCCACACCTTGGGGAGAAGGGGCACGAGAGTAGTGTCCAACAGAAGGTGGTCCATCTCAACCAGACAGCCCGGCCAGGTGAGGCCAGCTGGGCCACAGACACTGGCACTAAGGTGAGGGTGGGCAGAGAGGGTGGCACACTGAGGGAGCTCCACGGTCAAGTTCCAARAGTGTTCTTTACACTGGGGACCGCAGAAGATGAAGGCTGCAGTCTGCACCTGGCTCAGGGTCCAAGGACCCAGCAGACATTCAGCACCCTACTTGGGGCAGCTTTGGCCATTCATTCTGCCCCACAGACCTCACAGCCACTACATGGAGAACGGCCAGGAAGGCACCAGACTTGGAGAGCAGAGCCCAGGAGAGAGGGGCTGAGAGGCAGGGGGCAGGCTGGGGCTGGTGGGGACTCCGTGCCCTGTGCATTCACTGCCCTAAAGAAGAGGCCAGTGAATCCCCAAGTTACACCCTGTCAAGGACAACACTGCCATTCTTAAGTTGTCTCCCTTGGCCAGGACCACAGCAGGCCCCGGAGAGCACACCTTCTCTGCTTATGATCCTGACCAGGCACGCAGGACCCAGAGGCCAGGCCCAGCTCAGCGCTTGAAATCACTGTTACAGGAATCACGTGGGCTCGTGGGCTGGTTGGAAAATACATTTGGCAAACTTTGTCAAAAGTCAGCCACTAGTCCCCTTCCCAGGATAGCCACTCTGAGTGTCCTGCATGTCCCTCCAGCAGTCCCTCATACAGAATTGGGTGTMCCTGCAGCCAAGGTATAGCCTGGTGGTCCCACTGTGATGGCACAAATATTTTCTCTTTGAATGCTCTTCCCAGTGCTCTGAGTGGCTGTGAGTTCACAGAACCAGTGTGGCGCCCACACGTGCCACAGTCTTTGCAGGGCCCATGTCCAGCACAAGCCTGCCCTGGGTGTGACCACTGAGAAAAGATCCCTGGCCACCAAGAGGTGACAAGTGATATCTTGTTCTACTTTCTGTGCTAATTCCAACCAGCTGGTTGAAAGGCCAGGGGGGCCAGCTGCTTTGGGCCTCACCACTTCTATTTCCCTTCACTTGGGCTCCAGCCGAGGTGCCACCCAACAGTGGAATGACCTGCGGAGATGCCAGAGGGCCTCCTGGAAGGAATGGGCAGTGAAGGGAACCCAGGCAGACAAGAGGGGTGGCTCTGTAGCCTCAGGAAGATGACTGCTAGAAGGTGAGCACTGGCCGCCTGGCTCGAGCCGCCCAGGCCTTGTGTCCTTATCTGTACAGTGTGCATTGCAACCCCCACCCTGGGATGTCCAGGGGCTTACAGAACATGCAGAGAGTACAGCACCCAGCAGGAGGGCCTACTGTCATCACCTGGCCAAAGGAGAACAGGAGGGAACAGGGTGGGAGGGCCATGTGAGGAAGGGAGGAGGGGGCAGAAAGGGGGACCAGAGAGGTACTGGCAGACAGGCTAGGAGGCAGGGGACTCAGGGCTGCACAGGGACTCCTGGGACACGGATGTGCACACAGGGGATCAGAAAGCCTTCCCTGGACAGCAAGCCCAGGGAAAGCAGGAGAGAGGTGACCTCAGGCCTACCCCAGCCCAGGGCCACCAGGACAGGCTTATCCAAAACGCTCTTAGGGCTGTAATGCCACTAGAAAGAGGGCCAGCCACCACGTGCAAAACATCTCTAATCCCAAGGCCCCAAGAGGGGCAGGAGGAGGACAGGACAGTGCCATGGYCTGTGAGGCCAGCTCCTGAGAACAGGACCTCAGACCCAAGGACCTGAAGGTCTAAGTGGCACCAGAACCCGAGTTCGAGCTACCAACAGCCCAAGACCAACGGCTCATAGCCTGGAGAGGGCTRGGAGGTGACCTCTGGCCTGCCGAMCCCCAGGCCTTCGTCGCAGGAGAAGCAGGACACCAAGCAGGCACCCTTAGGAGTGGTGCCACCTGAGTTCCTGGAGAAGGGCGTGAGTCCCAGACCTCAACTCTGCAGACACAGAAACGGTGACGGCGGGAGTCCCCTCCCACTGCAGCCCCAGGTGGAGTCCGCACCCCAGGGAAACAGCGAAGAGGGGTGCACCTGGCCYGGGAGTGGGGCGCAGACCCGGCCCCAGCGCCGACTCACGGCCGGGGTGCCTAGCGGGGCTGGGGAGGGGTGTGTCCCCTCCGCCCTGGCCCCGGGCCAATCACGCCCCGGGCTTCCCCGCTGCCGAGGGCCGGGCTCGAGCGAGCAGTTCAGTCCGGGACAGGCCGAGGGTCTCCGGCGGCCAGAGGAACCCTGCGGGAGGAGAAGACGCCCAGGCGCCCGGGGCTGGGGTCTCCCGGGAACACGCGGCCCGGAGTTCCGGCCGCGGCCCGGCGCGGGGTCCGGCTTCTCCGTTTGGGGCCCGCACCCAGCTCCTGCRCGGAAGCCGCGGGCCGCCCCGAACTCGGCCGCGCCCCGCGGCGACGGCGGGCGGGCACTGCGGCAGAGCGGCCGTGCGCGCCAAGTTGGGCGCCCGCGCCCCGGAGTTTGCGGGAAGTGCGGGCGGGGCGGCGGGACGACCCCGCCCGCGGCGCTCCAGCGCGGCGCGCGCCAAGTTGGCCGTACCTGCGGGGGCCCGGCCCGGTCCGGCCTGGGCAGCTGCGGCGCGCCGCCCGCGGCAGGAAGTGCTCCGGCGTCCCCGCGCTCCGGCGCCCGTGGACTTTCTCCGACCTCGCCCAGCACCGGCGGCCGCACCGCGGCGGGGGCGGGGCAGCGCGGGGGAGGCGCCCGCGGRCCGTTTAAAGGGACAGCGCGCCGGCCGGCCGCGCGCGCGCACTCGCCGCCAGGTGGGCGCCCGGGGGAGCCGGGGGTCCCCGCAGGCTTGGGGGTATCCCGAGCGGGAGAGTCCGGCGCCGGCCTTCCGGAGTGCCAGGCGTCCGACCCTGCGCCGGGCGCCGGGCGGGGGGGGCGGGGGTGCGGACGCGATAGCGTCCAGCCGGTGCGCGGAGGGCCGGGCTCGGCGGCCGGTTAGGACGGGAACCTGGGGCACGCCTCCCCGGCCCACCGGTCCTGGAGTGCCCCCACCCCGCGTTTGCTCTGGCCTCGGGTTGCGGGCGAGAAGATCCCCGGGCCGGCGGTGGAAGGCGTGGTGCGCGAGCAACCTTGGGCGACCGCCACGGGGCGCCCGCTGGCGCCTCCTTGCCTGTGGCCGCGGAACTGCTGGCTGCGTGGACGCGGCCCAGGCTGCATTCAGGCCCAGTGTGATCCAGGCGTGTTAACAGACACGGTCCCATTTCCTTCATTGGCCAGGGCCATGCTCTTGTGGACAGAGATCCAGTTTTAAAAGTGCACAGAAACAAAACTGGGCGCACACCCCTGAAAGGACCCGGAAAGCCTTCSCAGTTGCTCCTCCCAACATGGGGCCTGAGGTCAGGACAGGCTGTAGTGGTCCTCAAAGGCTAGAGCCATCCTGATCCAGCACCCACACAGGGGTACTTAGAGGAGAAAAGGGGTGGCACCATGACAAAGGTCGTGAGAAAAGTCACTGGGAAGAGGGGGCCAAGTGAAGAACAAGCTGCTCCACCAACCTCCCGGAGCAGGTTATGGGCAGAGACCTGGGGCTAGAGCCTTCCTGGCACAGCTGGCCAAGGTCATTCCTAGGACAAAGGAGCAGAAGCTTGGCCTGTATCCCTGACCCCAGCCTCAGGTTGCACCTCCAGAACACAGCATCCCCCCAGAACCTCAGAACTCGGGTGTGAAGTGGGCCCCAGGTCCAACCCCAGCCCAGCCACTGCCAACCACTTCCAAACCTGCAGGCAGCCCATGTGRCCAGGGAAGGGGCAGCCTACACCAGGGAGATGCGTGGTGCTGGTTATAGGTCCCAAGGTCCTCCAGTGGGCCRGGCTGGGTCACTGTGTAGACAGGCAGGATATATGAAGGGTCCAGATGGTGGCACTGCACACACTCCTGGTGGGGAGCTGGCTCACTTACCTATCTGCCCATTTGTCTTCATAACTTTATTCTCAAAACACTAAAGACATTTTTTTTCTTTTTTATACTGTTGGGGATCAAACTCACATATGCTAAGCAAGTGCTTCACCACTGAACTACACTCCAGCCCAAAAAGCTATTTTGTAATGAAGGACATTTGGAAAACAAGAAAAAGTTGGTTTTTTTTTTTATTTATTTTTTAGTTCTCGGTGGACACAACATCTTTGTTTGTATGTGGTGCTGAGGATCGAACCCGGGCCGCACGCATGCCAGGCGAGCACGCTACCGCTTGAGCCACATCCCCAGCCCAAGAAAAAGTTTTTAAAAAGTCATTAGCTGTCCAGAAAGCTATTTCCCCGGGATGTCTGAGCTCTGTGCCATTTCTGGGTGCATGTGTGTATGTGCCAGTCTATACTTGCACATTTTAAATGCAGACAGGAGAACTCACTGAGTATCAGGCCTGCGCTACGTGTTCTGAGCATGTGCGAGTTGCCTAATGTAATCTCCACAATGATCCTGAGGCTGGCTCTCTTTATTCCTGTTTTACAGATGAGAAGTATTTGGTTTAGGGTGAAATTTCAGCTTGGGTTGGGGCTCTGCAGAATGAGACCTACCCRATGTGGAGGTTTCACTTTCCCGTGTGGCCCCACAGCACCTTCTCTCCTTCTCTGCATTTGCTCCTTACAGGTCATGACCTCTGTAAAGGGCAGGGGTGCAGCTCAGTGGTAGAGTTTGCCTGGCATACACTGGGCCTGGTTTCCCTCCGGAGCACTGCAGAAAGAATCATGCACACAAAACATGCCCACTGTGAAGGGCGGGTTCGCTGCTGGCTGACCCCTGAGCCCAGCAGCTGCAGTCCTGCCTCCAGGAATGTGACCGCACCACTGCCTCTCTGAGACGGGTGCCAGCCTAGGATCTGGCCCTCAGTTTCCAAGGCCTGCAGCCTGATTTTCCCCTTTCTATCCAGAGAGCACCAGGCTGGGAGGAAGGGGAAACCACAGGAGAGTCTGAACAAACCAGTGAAGCAGAGGTGGGCCCAGGGGCCCCCAGACAGCCACACGCCTAAGCACTGCCTCCTGTTTTCCTGAGCTCCAAATAGCTGGGGGCTCACACCCTGAGCACTGTGGTCCTGGGGAACCTACGTGCAGGCTTGGGGGCGGGCGATGCATGCTCCACAGGAACCAGGATGCAGACTTGAGGGCCTGTGCTCGGTGCCCAGGTGAGGCCTGCTTTCCTCCATCCAAGCTCACACAGGGTGACCGTGAATTGCCCAGTGGAGACCCAGGGCTTCCCAGAGCTTCTCTTCTCCCTTCCACACACCCAACAGCAGCTCCACCCTCTGGCGGTTCTGGCTTCTCACCGCCTTCCTCACACCCAGATCCCTCTACCCCAATCCTGATACCTCTCTCCATCCCATCAACATCCTCCTGGTCCAACACCTCGTTCCCCAGGAGGGTGTAGTAGCCGCCTACCTGGGCTCCCAGCTCCCTCAAGGCCCTGCTCCAGTCTGTCACTATGGGCCAGTGCAGAGACTAAGGCCACGGCTCCCCACCTCCTAGGACTCAGGATACAAGCCTTTGAATGACCAGGCCTGGCTCCCCACCTCACAGTGCACCCCTACTCCATCCCTGCTTTGTGCCAGCTCCCTCCAAAGCTCTAGGAGCATTGACTTCTGCAGGGACCCTCCAAGTGCTGACGTCCTTCTGCCCTAGGGTCCTTGCACCTACTGTGCCCATGGCCTGTACCTTCTTCCCCAGTGTCTTTGAGACTGACCTATCACTTTCTTTGGGTCTCTGCCCAAAGGCCCCTGGCTCACAAGCCTTCCAAACTCTCCTATATGAAAGGACCAGAAGGGCTGGGGCGCCCCCTCACCCTGAGCCCTTGCAGGGTCAGGCTCCCCATTTGTCCCCTGTCTTCTCTCTGGGGCTCATTGGAGGGCCCGGCCATGCCCAGGGTAGGAGCCTGACTGTCCATTTCCACCCTGCTGTCAGAGGCAGCTGAGGGATGCTGGTCCCTGGCTGGTCAGAAGCTCACTGCCTCCTCCCACCTGCCTGAGTCCTGGCACCGGTCCTCAGGGTGCTGGTCGACAAGCCAAGCCCTTCCCCAGGTTATGACCCCTCTGGCCTGGGGAGGACTGGGCTTCCCCACGGGCCCAGCACAGGTTGCCCAAGGCCGGCTCCCCCCTGCAGGGGGACAGCCAGAGGTCTCCTGTCCCCTCTCCTGCTGTGATCCCCTCCACACAGAAGGGAGAGGCAGGGACCTTTGGTGAAATGGGAAGCGTTTGTAACCTCTTGGCAGGAAGCCTCGGGGCCTCCGAAGAGCAGGGACAAAAGAAACCACCTGACTTGGGGGCCCATGCCTAGGGAAGTCACCCCAACTGTGCTTCCATGGCCCTCACCTTCAAGGGGGAGCTCGTGGCGGCTGGTGGACAAAGGACTCCCAACAAAGACTTCCACCCAAGCAGGTGGGTCTGTCCGGAAACTAGTGTCCTGCCTCGCGCTCTGTACAGGGGACCGTGCATGGACGGCCCAGGGCGGTGAGACAAGGGCTCTCCCCTCAGGCCCCATTTTGCAGCCCACCCTGGTAGGGATGTCCCCTCTCTCAGAAGGTTGCCTAGTACCCCAGGGTGGTGCACAGAACCCCAGAGAGGAGCATGGGCCTGGGGCCCACAGAGCAGGGGGCAAGGGCTGCACATCAAGAATGGCCAGGGGACCCAAGCCACCCTCAGCCAAAGCCCAGCCCTGGAGACAAGCTTGCTTTTGTTCTGGGCCCAGTCCCTGGACCCCCAGCTTTGCAAGACCAAAGCAGCCTGGTCAGCTCAGAGTGTTGTGGACACGTCCAGCCACCTGCAGGACAATAGGGGGTGGCTGTGACTCTGAGGCCCCCCCCTCCTGCAGAGGCTCCGTAAAGACTCCACACCCTAGCTGTCCCCTGCCCCCCATCTCTAGCCCCCAGGGCAGGCTATCCCTGTGGGTGGGATCCCTGGGTGGGGCACAGCCAGCCTCCATCCCTCCAAGTGTCTTCCATCCTATGTGGGGTCACTTTGGGCCAAAGGGCATGTCCTTGGGCTGCAATATTGAGGTCTTCGGTGACTCTTTTGGGGGTCACTGCTGTGATTACTGCTAGCTTGGTGCAGCCCTTGTCCTCCCTGCCTGACACCTGTCACCCCTGCAAGACCTGGGCCCATGCCAGGCACTACCCTTGCTGGGAAGGGGGTGGACTGGCTGGGACAGCCGGGACGGACAGGCTGGGACAGCCGGGAGGGACAGAGCGCCCCCTGCAGTGAAGCTGCCACAGACTCCTGGGGCTCAAGCCCGCCCCCTCCCCAGGCAGTCCAGGCCCCCACATGAGAGGGGCTCTTAGACTTCCAGGCCTCTAAGGCAAGAGTCTGGGTGTCCTGCAGACACAGGCGACAGGGACAGAGGTGGCATTTGACTGGCCGAGGTTCAGGGTGGGCAGCGGGGACAGTGGGAAACTCACCCACTCCCYAGCCTGCCCCACCCCCATGGCACACAGGCACCTCGCTGTGACCAGCACAGAGGCTTTTGCTCCTGTGACCCCCACATTTGAGAGGACCTTCTGGGGACCAAGAAGGACTGCTCTGTTGAGGAGAAAGGAAAGTCCTGAAGCCCCCCCAGGCCTCTCCAGGGGCCAGCAAGGGTTGAGGGTGTCTGGAGGACCCCAAAGGTGGAGTCAGGCAGGCTGAGAGAGAAGGAGCTGGGAGCTCAGGCCACCGTCCGGGC